TAATGAAGAAGTTATGACTTGTCGAAGTTTCGCGACAGAACCGGTACGACACTGCGTGACGTAAATAGTGAATTTACGATAGAACGATTTCTAGCCTTAGTGATCTAAACGAAAGTCGTAGAGTTCGTTAAACCGAGAGCGTGCATAAAAAGAACGCCCAAATCTGACTTCGTATGAGGAAGTTATGATTTTTCTAAGTTTCGACTTAGCAGTATGCAACCCAAAACTCGAAATTTAGATCGAGTGATTTTTAGCCGAAACAATCTAAACTAGAATCGAAGATCTCGTCGATATTAGTGCAACGGTAAAAAGACAAACGAAAACGGACGTCGGATGAAGAAGTTATGAATTTTTAACGGACTTTTCCTGTCCCGGCTTGTTAAAAATATAACTTTAAAAATAAAGTCAAAATTAGCCGACAGAGTCCAAACGAAAGTTGTAGAGCATAGTCTCACCTACGCGTGGATATAAAGAACATCAAAAACGGAGTTTGTATGCGAAAGTTACGAATTTTTGAAGTTTGGAAAATGGGAGTACGCCCAACGTACTCGTGTATGTGATCCGAAGTTGGCCACGTTGCCTACTTCCTCGCATGTGACACGTATCTAGTACCATCGACACGTCTGATGCCACGCATCACCCTACGCCCAGCGTACGAAGGCTTATGCCCCGCGTAGAGCACCGCTGAGCAGTACGTCCAGCGTACACCATATTTACGCCCAACGTAATGCTGAGCCTCGGGCACTATAAATAGCACCCCGATGCCATCCGATTTTAGGTTGCAAACTTCCATTCTCCCACCCTATATTTTCTTCTATACTGAAAAAATTACCCCAAGCCTATTTTATCATTCTAGCATCATAAGCAAGTCTCGGAGAGCCCGAAGATCCCGAGAAAAATAGTTTTCGAGCCGAAACTCTGCCCACGTGAAGCCCAGTTTTTGAGAAAACATCCCAGTTTCATCGAAGAATATTGTTTTAAGAGACGAAGTGCTGTCCAATCATCGTCTTATCATGTGAGTGTGTAGTCACTTTCATCTTACACATAAATATGAAGTATTTTCTATAAAATACGTGTTATGTGTAATTATATTGTTTGTTTATTTAAGATGAGTGTTGAATAGATGTTTTACACAAGTTTTAAATTGTATATGTATTTTTATCTACAAATATGTTGGGTAAAACATGGGTAGATGAAATAGTTGATGTGTGTTAAAATGATGAGAGTCCTCAATGTTGTTGTTGTTGTTGTAGTCATCTTGCGGAGTATAGATGACGACCACATACCTTTCTAGACAGTCCAGTGGAACGCTAGCAGGTTCCCAACCTGAAGGTGTTGGTGAACTATATGTTCATTGGTGTACTCCATCCCCCTCATGGTTGCTTTATTTGACATAAATTGCTGAGGAATCCCTAAAGCAGTGTTGTCACCCCGATGAAAATCCTTAGACTAGGTCCCTTATGATAGGTGTTTAGGGACGTAAAGTGAGGATAGCGGGAATGGGTAATCAGGGTTATTGTTGGTTGATGAAATTGAAAAAATTTATTTTTGGTTGATGAATTTAATAAATTTATTATTATTTGTGGGTTGAAAACCCTATATGCTCACCAGGCTCCCAAGCCTGACCCACTCAGCTTTTTATATTACAGGTAGTGGAGCCAGAGCATGGTTTGGATGATGACGAGAGATTTTTGGATTATAGGCCAGTAGTTGTAAATAACTGTTGTAAGGCTTATAATGTACTGTTTATGCTTTTGGTCTGTATCGGAACACGACATCCCGAGGTTTTGATATATAATGAAAATACATATTTCTTTAAGAAATGTTTTGATAAATTTTTTTTATCATATTTTGTTTTGGGGACAAATTCCGCAGCATCTTTTAAAAAGATTACTCTGATTTTATTTTAAAAGCATAAATTAAATCGGTCTTTTCTGACAGAGAAATTTGGGGATGTCACATTAACCCAAGGAGAAAGGCCAATGCTTGCTAAATTTGATAACTTTATGGCTATAGGGACCAAGAGGAGTCCAGATTTGAAGTTGCAACTTCAGATCATGCCCAATACCCGAATTCACTCACAAATATGCTATAAATGGCCCTAAAGCTTTGCATGAGGAGATCTAGCTAAATATTAGTCAAGGTAACGACTTGTTACCTTCCAGATGATGCCAAGATGAAGTAGAGTCATATTTATAAGCTTATGTTTGCTCCAAGCTCCTTAGACTTCAAACCTTCTTCACAAAATGCACCAAAATCTCTCTTAAAATATCAAAAACACTCAAGAACAAGGTCTAGACTGATTAGGGTTTCTTCTGGCCGTCAAAAGGTGGTAAGGGGCTGGAGGAAAGGACTTAAGGTCCTTTAAATAGGGTGAAAACCCTAAAAATCAGGGTTTCATTTTCCTGCTCCTACTCGTCGAGTCGGGGTCCTCCGACTCGTGGAGTAGACCTTATAAAATATGTGGCCCGATCCACCTCTACACGACGAGTTGGGGGCAACCAACTCGTCGAGTAGGTCCAAGAATATGAATTAAACTTTTAAATTTTATAACTGGGAGTCGGGGTGTTACATCAAAAGTTTTCAGACTATCCTACGTGACTACATACAACCCCTAGGACACTACACTAGACGATCACCAACCTACTGGTACTCTAACCAGAAATCCACTAGTCTTGTATCTTGACATGCAAGGATATACAATGTGACATATAGTATAGCGAGGAAACTCACTAAATCAAAAACCCAAGAAAACACAACACGCTCACTCCCTGCACTACTGGCACCAAACAAAGCTATAAATTTAATCAATAACCTAATTCCTTTAAGTTTGACCCAAAGTTAAACTAGTAAAAAGTCAAAGGTCAACAAAAGTCAATAATTAACCTAGTTAACCCCCACGACGACGTGGATGACTATTGGCCACGTCATGGGAACATCAAGACAAAACAGTTACGAGATTGAGAACCACCACACCGTGGCAAGCATATTGTCACGTCATGGGAATTGGCAGACTGTCATAATTTTCATTAAGTGCTTAATCTATTAAGATATAAGCCCAAAACTTCAGATCCACTTCTTTCCAACGACTTAATGGATAAAGTTTCCAACTTTATCCATTAGGAATCCATTCCAAAGCTAGATCTACAACTCTAAATCTATTAAGTCCTTTATGAGGTAAAATCTTGAACAAGGACACAAAGTAACTCCAACTAAGGCTCATTTCCTCACTTAACAGAGCATATTGACCAAGATGGAGCCATGACAAGATCTGGAGTTCCTCTAACTCCAAGAGCAACCATAGAAGGGACCAAAACCACCCCAAAATAAGCTTAAAGTAGAATCTAGAATAAGGAATGACAGGGTATGAGATTTATACCTCCAATAGCTCAGAAATATGAAGAATATGATGGATCCAAACTGGTCCTTTTCTCCCTTGCACCAAAATGACCCTTCATGTTCCCCAAGCTCCTCTAAAATCCAAGAATATGGTCTTCAGCTAAGCAAACAAGCTCTCAAATCTTCATGGAGGCTAGGGTTTCGTATTCGAGGGTTGGAGGCTGAAGGCGATTTTCGTGATATTGTCCACTAGCCAAAACATATTTATTTCCATCCTAATATCGAAGGTATGCAAAACTCGGGGTTGTTAAGGATACGTTTGGTTATGGAAATATATTTTGTTTAACAAGTTTTTTTCTAACAAAAGTGAAAAAGTTTGAAAACTTGTTTGGTTTAATACTTCTTTTTCTAAAAGTTTTCCAAGAAAAAAGATTTTTTTAATTTTCTAATTACAAGTTACTTGTAAAATTGATAATTGTTGTTTTCCATGTTTTTATAATTTCATTTTCTTTTTCTAAAATATAAACACCCCCTACGTACCTAAACCTACACCCCCACCCCACCCTACCTCACCCCTACACCCACACCCACACCTACACGTCCCATACCACCCCATCCCCCAACCATACATCCACATATAGACCCACCATACATATATATTAAATTTTTGTTTCATTTTATGTTGAATTGTGTTAAGTATCATGTTATTTGAAATAACTAAAGTTGGATAAATTAATAGAAATTATACATTCGAGTATGGTTTCTAGTTTTCTTATATGGAAAAATGAAAAATCAATCAGTTTTAATAAGAGGTGATATATATATATATATATATATATATATATATATATATATATATATATATATATTATATATATATATATAAAAAACAAAAGTGAAAATCCATTTATTTTTCTAAATTTCTTTTCAAAAAAACTAAAAATAGTTTTCCACAACCACACTAATCTAAAAAAAAAATCCTTATGGCAAGGAGATTGCAAATGGGATTCCATCTTTCTTTTTGGCCCAGCGACTAATATATTAGCTATAACATGATTTAAGGGATAATGATATAAAAACCTTTAAGTTTGATAGAAATATACAGATTTATCTTTTTGTGGATTTTAGGTTCACTAATTCCGAATAACACTAAAGCCAAACATTTCAGCCAAACTTATGAGTTTTAATGAACCAAAAAACCAAACTTAAGGGATTTTATGAACTAAAAAAGAAATTTAAAATTGAATATTTATGTCAAACGTAAATGCTTTAATGAACAAAAAATACATAAAAGGATAAAATCAAAAATAAAATTGCAAATATCCACCTAAAATCCACAAAAAGATAAATATATAAATTTATATCAAAATTAAGAGTTTTTACATCATTATCCTTTGAAGACTAAATACAAAATTTGTACTTTTTAAACAAAGTGTAAAACCAGAGAACTGTACTAAAACTGAACATTAACCAATACTTTAGGGGACATTGTGTAATTGTATTATTATACCGTAAAAACTAGGGTTCAGATTGCCGAAAATCATTTGAGCCCTCCAGTTGTTCTTCCTCTCCGTCTTCAATCTTCACCCATCACGACAAGCAGGTTTAAGGCTTTAAAACACTCCTCCGACGATTACTTGATTTGATTTGTTCTTAGCCAGATGTCGGATAAACGCAACATACAAGATCAGCAACGCAGATTGCTCGCTGAGAAGTACGAATTAAGGAGAAAACTGTACAAAGCGTTCTCTAAAGATACCGATCTTCCAAATGACGTGCGGGAGAAACATCGTTGTAAGCTGGCTGATTTGCCGAGAAACAGTTCGTTCACTCGAGCAGTGAATCGGTGTGTTTTCACTGGTCGTGCTCGTTCCGTTTATCAGATGTTTCGAGTTTCTCGTATCGTGTTTCGTGATTTAGCATCCCGAGGTCTTTTGCACGGAGTTAAGAAAGCGTCGTGGTAGAATCTTAGAGTCAATTTGAGAAACAGGTCAGCTTTTCCTGATCTGTTTGATAGACGATTGTTGTTGAATTAGCTACTGTTTTTTCTTTGCTTATAAGTCTTACTTGAATGCATTGTTGAAGCCGATCAAATAAGTGTCAATTGGTAGCTGATTCTGTTGAGTATTCCAGAACGGGAATCAGATTGGATATGTTGATTCTGTGAAACTTGGAACATGATATTGTGTTTTGATTAAACTGATTCTGTAAACTTGGAACTGGAAATTTGTTTGATTAACTTGATTCTGTTCCTTGTTAGCTAATTGTCTTAAAGTAGGACCTCTGGTGTCCTGTACTATCAATGCTGAAATTTGTTATTTGGATTAGTGATATGCACATTGATGATGTAGAGATGTTTTAGGGTTGAAGTTGTAAATCAGACATTTGTGAAGTGAATAGCTCTAGGCATTTGTCTAAAGAATCATAGATACATAAAGTCATTAAGTAAATGTTTGCACAGATATATATATATATATATATATATATATATATATATATATATATATAAATTTATTTCCATGACAGAGCGCCATTAACCCAAATCATTCATATCAAAAATATTATGCATGGATTGTTGACACTGAGATATTAGAAGCATTGAAATACCTTTTATTGTTTGGACGAGTTCTTGAGAGCTTTGGATAGAGAAAGAGGGGAAATAGTGTGTGCAATTATGATATTGTGTTAAGAATCAATCAACCCAGTGTTGAACTCACAAAGGCATAAATCCACTTGTAGTGTATGATTTGGATTTACAAGGCTAGAAAATGAAGAAAAATTATTGCATTTTTTTTGTCAAACCAACCTTCATATATAGCGGGTTCTTTTTAACTTTGGAATCCAGGATCCGTGAGACCCGTTTTCCAATTAAAATAGGTAAGAATCCAAATTTGAAAAACAATTCATAACTATACACATTTGACACAAATTTGATTCATATGTAGAAACAAGATTACAAGTATAATGGTTTCTGTATAATTGTCAAGCATTCTTTTTGTTCTCTTTTGTGATTGGATATGTGGCAAATCAATTTTCAGCAATGAGCCATGGCTCTCTTTGGATCATAATCTAAGCTTATTATTTTAGACTTTTAGTTTTTCAATTAGTTTTTTGTATTCCGGTTCTTTTCCTGCTTAAAAATTGATTATGTTTTTGTTATCACTGGCCCAGAACATGATCTAAAAATCCTTGTTCTATTTGTAAAAAACATGAAGTCTTATCAGAATTGTTTTGGCGTTTTGGCATCAAATATCTAAAGAATTGTCGAGAAAACAGTTGCTTGAAAAAATACAGTGATTTTGAACAAATCTCGAAAATGTAGATACAAAAGTGATCGTTTTTATTCTTGCAAATTGTAGAAAACGACAAGATAATGGTGTGAATTTGTAAAAAATTATATGCTTTTAATTAAGATTTGATTGGCAATCAGCATAAAGTTGGGTATTTTTTTGAATGATGAAGTGGTGAGAAAATGCCATGATGTCTATTCCATTATTGATAGCTCTCTATCAATAATAGCGGTGGATTGGTTTATTAGTAGGGGTGTGCACAAAACCGCACAAATCGCCCACACCGCACAGCATAATACGGTTTTCAATGTTCGCGGTGCGGTTCGTGGTTTGTAGTTTTTGTAAACCGCAATATGTGGTGCGGTTTGTGGTTTATGCTTACGTAAACGCGGTTCAAACCGCACCGCACCGCATTATATATAAGGTAAGATACATGTCTATTATTATTAATTATAAAAAACATTATTAATTTATTATGTACAACAAATTCTAACAAGTGCAAAATAGCAAATTGGTCGCTAAACAATGGGACAGTATACAACTATTCAGTTATAACAAATTCTAATCCATTTTTGTCTATTTATAAAGATACTTGACAGACAAATTAGGTATCAAACTATATTGATTATATTAAATCAGTATCTTTAAAAGAATAAAATTAAATTTATCATGGAAAAATATATCTATCTGGGTACAAACTCTATTTTGGATTTAGCCGACACATAACTTTCATTTTCACAATAGGATATTAAAATTGGTGGGAAAAGTAGCACTAATATATATCAAATTAATAACGATGTTAGGAATATTAAAACAATCGTTTACCACAGTTATATACAACTCGTTAATTGTTATATGATAAAAAAATCATTTAATCGTAGTTACATACTAATGCGTATAAAACTTGAATACACAATAACTTATTTGTTATTTGTTATTCACTAAACCGCACAAAAACCGCCCGCACCAAACCGCACCGCACCGCATAATGTGGTTTAGAACCTTAACGGTGCGGTTTGCGGTTTCCAAAAATCCCAAACCGCACATGCGGTGCGGTTTGCGGTTTTGACTCCAAACCGCACCGCGCACACCTCTAATTATTAGATAAAATAGCTACACGGTCTAATGAAAAGAAATTATTTACTAAACTCATCATAATATCTGCATAACTTGTATTTACACACACACCTAAATAGTTTGAAGAGATTTCTAATTTAATAATGTTGGGTTCTGGGTAGCATGTAGTCCTTAACCTTCTTGGACCGATTACTAAAATGAGATCTTTGAATTTTTTTAATTTTTTGTACTTTTTAGAAATAAGTTACGTAACTTATAATATAATATATTTTTCGTGTTAAAAGGAATGGATCTACAAACCCCATGGAAAAAGAATGTATAAAAAGAATCGAAAAGGATAATGACATTTGTAACCTCATAACAACCTCCATAAATCCGTTTGTTAGAAGACAAAAGTTGGAAAGTGGTTAAATGAAGAGATATGTCGACAGAAAGATAAGAGGTGATGAGGGAGTGAAGCGAAAACTAAAAGCCTTCACATAATCACATGGGCAAACCATTCATTATTCATCAAGTGTCCTTATGCTGTTTTTACTCTTTTTCAACCTTATGGGACCAACACCAACCTACTTTCTCTTGTTTATCTCCTTTTACTTTGTCCACTAATAGATTAGTTCATGGACATTTTTGTCAATTCGTATGCTTCTTATTCATTCTCATTCTTTGATTTGACCCACCCCTTTATACTTTCTCCATCATTAGTTCAGGGTAATTTGTCAAAATACATGCTTTTTATTTCACAATTATAGCAATCTTTGACCCACCGTTTCTTGTTAACCCCTTTTTTATTTTATAGTTTGTCCATTGATTCGTTTAGGGGCACTTTTGTCGATTCCACCATACTTTTTATTTTACATTTGCACCAATATCTTCACACTTGCGTTTCATTATCAGTCTTCGACCCACTTTTTCTTGCTAAACTTCGATTACTTTAAGGGTAAGTTTTGTCACTTCACAACTTCTTTTACTATTTACTCAAATAATTGCCCCTTTTGTCTTTCATTCTCAATTATGGTCCCATGGAAGAACTCTTCAATCTCTACCCATGTTTTGGAATCTGGCATTGTCTATTGGAAGAACAAATTCATCTCTTTAATTTTGATTATCTAGATAGGTACAATAGGTTCTTTAACGTGTTAAATTGACTTCGGTTTAAGATCTTAATTTGACTTTGGGTCACGATGGATAATTTTAGTGTATGTTGAAATATGTTGGGTTGAACTAAAAACATATTGTATACATTTCTATAAAATACTTTTAATATTATTACTTATGATCACCAAGAACACAAGGAAGAAAATGATTACCAAGAACACAAGGAAGAAACAAAACATTGTTTTGTTGATTGGACTCTAGAAATTGTTGGTGTTGCTTTCATGGATACTAATAAAGAAATATATGTTTTGATCTTTAGTTTCTATATTGAAGGATATCCACTATAATTCAGGTAAAATTCAAAACCCTCTGGTTGTAGTTATTGGTTAATCAAGTTTGTTTGGTTGTGAGCGACTTTTTTCAATTGAGAGCTTATGAAGTTCAACTCTCATTAGGAGACATAGGTGGTATTTAAGAGTATGTTAGTTTGTCGTTCCATAAAAAGAGTGGTCTAATTGGATCCTTGTTTTGGAAATTAGTTTTAAATCGTATTTTCGGACGTGTTTTAAATTGTTTGCTTAATTTTTATTTTATTTTTGTAAAAAAACTCAATAATTGTAACAGTGGTATCCAAGCCTTTGTATGATCTTTTGATTAACTTGAATTTTTTTTGTTTTATTTATTGCTTCCATAAGTGAATTAGAAGAAAAGAAACAATTTTCAAATCTTTTAAATATGTTTATATTTAACTTTTAATGGTTTGACTTTTATTTGACTGAGTATTAATGTTTTGTAAAATTCACATGGACTTTAATAACAAACCATCGAAACATTAGGATTTTTTTTTGAAACGACAATTCTAACCTACTCTTAAATTACTCCTTAAATCCACCTATGTCCACGACGAGACTTGAACCCTCAACCTCAAGGAGAGAGTACAACACCGGATACCACTGGGCTAGAAACCCTTTGGTCTTTTGGATGCTATTTTAAATGGGTTACATTTGCCTTTTGGACTTTGTGTTGGTTGATGTTTTTATGGTGGTGGTTTATTAATTTTAATGCAAAGGTTTTTAAGGTTTTTGAGTTAAGAGCATATTTCGATTGTTTTACAATTTAAAACTATTGTCATGTTATTTTTCACTAATTTTAACTAGTAATGTTATTTTTCACTAATTTTAACTAGTAATTAAATGTATTATCTAAATATAACTTATTCCAATAGTTTTTATAAAAATTTAATTAATTAATATCTTAGAACCAAAAGAAATCAACATGTATATTTTCAGATCTCTTGCAACATGCTTAAGAGAAAATAAAGACATAAATTTTGGACAATATCAAATACAACAAATAAGTCTCAAACCTTTTTGTTGAAGCTTTTCATCTATAACTTTACCTACAAAGACAGTTTTATTGATCTCACCAGGTTAACAACTATCACTCATTTCATTAAATAGTGTGAAGTTCATAAGTAATACAAACTGAAATTAAAAAAAAATCATTGTTACTAAATCTATCATTATGTCTGCTTGGTTTAGCTTTAGCTATTCCCTATCAAATCTCAACATGAAAACATTTTAGATACTAATATTTACCTAATCAACAACATAAAATAATTAACTATAATGTCATGGTCTAGTTTAAAAGGTTGATGTATCATAAGTGAGTAAGTACCACATTTGTATAAGAGAGCATACACAAAAATTGATAATGTCATAAAATCGAAACTAAAAAATCAACCATGGACAAATTTCCTGTTACAAGATTGAGCATAAAGAAAGCTTTTGTAGTGCTCATACTTATATTTTGTTTTCTCTGGGGCATTTTGACACATTTTATGTGCACTTTCCTTAAGCACCTTAATAGCTTGTACTGCCTAATTTTCACCATTATTCCCATTAAATCATTCCTTAGCAAC